TTGTAAATGGTCCTCTGACCTCTACAGGAACACTGCAGCGCTCATCTCTCTCTCTCTCTCTCTCTCTCTCTCTCTCTCTCTCTCTCTCTCTCTCTCTCTCCCTCTCTCTCTTTTTACTATGTTGTGCAGGGTGGCCCTGAACTCCTCTGCTCAAGCAATCTTGTCTCAGCCTCCTGAGTAGCTGGGACTATGGCTGCATATACCTTGTCTAGGTTTTACAGTGGCCTTCAAAAGTCTGCAGTAACTTGCCCTCCCCCAATTTTAATATTCTGTAGAAACCTCCTTGACCTACTCTGTCCAGCTTTCTCACTAGTTCTTAGCTACAAGGCCAGCAAAGGGGAATGTTTTAGCTTCTGTTGCCCACCTCACCCCCACCCCACCACTTCCAATGTGTTGTCCCTTCAACAGCCATCTTCTGAGTCCCTGCTTGCTTCATTTGCTCTACTAGCATTTACCGCCATCTAACACAGTAGACCCGATCCACCAACTTTGTTATCTTTCTTAATTCAAAATGCATTTTCTCAGAGCAGTTTTGTCTGTCTAGTTCACTGCTATCTGCCTTGTTTCCTACTATGTAGAACAGTGCCTGGCTGGAGCAGAAGGCAGAGAGGGGCACGGTGGGCACTGGGCAGGGAATTAGGGTAAGAAGATTGCTCTCTGCTCCTCTCACTCTCGGCTCTCCCACCTCAGCGCCTTGACTTTACCTTTCTGCAGGTCCCTGGGCTCTAACACCCCTTCTCTTTTCTACACAGTCTCAAAGTGATCTCTTACATAAACTCGCAATGGCTACCTGCTTCTCTCCCTCAACCTTTCCCCTTGCTCAACACCGTCCTGAATAACTGGTTACTACACAAAACCTTACTGCCTAATTGCTCTCATCCATCTAGATTTTTGTCTCCACTCCTATTCACACTGCCCTGCCTCCACACTCTAATCTCTTCACCAGATAACTATTCTGTTAGGCAGGAGAGTGTGGTGGTGAGAGAGGGGCTTCCTATCAGAAAGACCTGGATCTCAGAACCCAGCTCTTACCAACAAGCAATAGCCAATAATTAATGCTCAGTCAGCTGAGACTGGACTTATCTTGACAAATTATAGGTTTCTCACCTGTAACATGGGATAGTATTAAAGACAGACAAAATGGTTTCCTGCTTGGAACAAGTGTTCAAGTATGTCTCAAAATCTAAGATCTTGGGAGCTGGAGAATTGGCTTGGTGGTTAAGAACACTAGTTGCTCCTACAGAGGACCTAGGTTTTGGTTCCTAGCATTCACATAGTGGCCCACACTCTTCCCTAACTCTGGTTCCAGGGCATGACCTCTGTGGACACCAAACATACTTATGGAACACATATATTCATGCAGGATCAGTAACTCCAGTTCCAGGGAATCCAACTCTCTTCTGGCCTCCTTGGCACCAAGCACATATGGTGCACAAACATATATGTGTGTAGACAAAACACTCACACACTAAACAAAGAAATCTAATCAAAACTAAAAAGCAAAACAAAAAGCAAACCCTTATGGTCTCAAGGCTGGGGAGACACTGGGTGGGTAAGAGCACTTGTTCTGCAAACGCAAGCACCTGAGTTTGAATCCCCAGCACCCATGTAAAAAGCAGGGCACGGTCACATGTCCCTGTGGCCCCCCAACTGGTGGAGCCAAAACCTGGGCTCTAAAGAGCTGAGCCAGCCTGTCTGGAAGGCTGAGCTTCTGGTTCAGTGACAGACACTATGTCACAGCAAATGTGATAAAAATAGGATGACATACCTAACACTGAATTTTGGAGTTAGGAAGTTACTTAATTAGTACTCAACTAAAAACAATAAATAAACCAAACAAACAAACAAACAACAACAAAAACTCATCTCTGATAGCAGACCACAAAGCAAGTAAGAACTCTAAATGATACAAAAACAAGAATATAAAACCATTACACATGATAAATTTAGAGAAAGAAAAACCTTCTAGTTACTATTTTCTAAGTGAATACCAATTTAACAATTTTATTAAAACTATTCATGCTGAGGAAAAGCATACCTAAATTTTGAAGTAAGACATCAGTTTAAAGTCTAACTGCCACACGTGGCTAACCTGGAAGGTCATTCAATTTTTTCTCTGTCTATAAATGGAGATTTCTAAAATCACTTCCAGGGCTCATTTTTAAATCAGTGATTGTCCTAGTTCCATTTCTGTTACTGTGATAAAATACTCTGACATAAAGCAAGGGTTTATTTGGCTTAGAACAGCCCACCATTGTGGGGAAGTTACAGCAGCAGGGGCTTGAGAGTCAAGAGCAGAGAGAAAATAACTTCACGAATGCTGTCCCCTTACTTTCTCTACTTTATATGTTCACGACCCAGACCACAAAATGGTGCTGCCCACACCAGGATGACCCTTCTTACCCCAACCCAATTAAGTTAAAAAAATCAATTAGGGAAAAAAAAAATCCCTCACAAGCATGCTCCCAAGCTAACATGGCCCAAGCAGTCAGTCCCTCAATGGGACAAGCATGCTCCCAGGCCAACATGGCCCAGGCAGCCCCTCGCTGAACCTCCCCCTCCCCACAAATGATTCTACACTGTAGCAACTTGATGATTAAAAGAAACAATCACAGTCTTAATATCTAATGAGTTAACACATTTGTGAAATTATGACAATATTACATAGCTGTGTCTAATGATTTAATCGCCAACAGAAGGTAACTATTACTTTTGAGAAAACAGCAGTTAAACAACATTTTTAAAAATCACTCAACAGTCATACAGCATTATAGCCAATTTAAAAATGTTTATTACTTTTACTTAGGGTGGGGTGGGGTGAGGTGGAGTGGGCATGCACAGCCCAAGAAACCTGTATGGAGGTCAAAGGGCCACTTTCAGGAACCAGTTCTCTCCTCCCACCACGTGGATTCTGGAGAACCAATTCAGGTTGTCAGGTTTGGCAGCAGGTGCCTTTACCCACTGGCCCATCTTGATAGCCCTACAAATAACATTTGATTGTAATAACTAAACTATGAAGAGTTTAAAACAGCAATCTATTTCCAGTTTAGAAATACAATTTTTTGCAGCAAATTAAATATGTCTCGATGAAGACTACACATAACAAAAACAAAAACTTTGGCTATGTTCAAAACAATCATATAAGAATACACTCTTTTTCCAAATAATAATTTAAGGAAATGGTTACAGTTTATGTGACAATTATCAGGATACATCGTGAGATTCTTGTTGATCTTGCTATGGTATGCCCAGTACCAGTCAAGTGTGTACACACTAGTACCTACCAAACCTCTGTTGCCCTGTAGTTTGCATGCACCCATTTAAGATTATTCCAGAGAAGTGAGTGGATGCAACAACAATCACACAAAGTAACAAAGGAGCTCCCCTAGGAAGCAACTTCACTAAGAAACCAATTGGAAAGCTCTGAACTCTTAAAAAAGACCTAAAGAACCCTTACCTAAAGCAGCTTTACCTGAAACACCAGCGTGGGCGCACCATGAAAAATCAGGCCTAATCAAGAACAGTCTTCAAGATCATAAAAGTTACAGTTATACACTCCCCAAAGACATAGATATTTAACAATTAATCATAAATTGAAGGCGGGCATGTTGTAAATAATAAGGGAATCATCAGGATTTTTCCATCAGTGTACACTCTCACCATTCACTTAGGGATAGGATGTGTTTTACTCACTGGACTCATTATGCTTTCAGTGTGTGTGTGTGTGTGTGTGTGTGTGTGTGTGTGTGAGAGAGAGAGAGAGAGAGAGAGAGAGAGAGAGAGAGAGAGAGGGAGAGAGAGAGCAGAGAGAGAGATATTCACAGTAGCAACCAAATGAGAGCTGCAATGAGGTTCAAAGAGTAGTTTCTGAGCCAACAGCTGCTAGGGCCCTGCGACCAGGACAAGAACTGGCTCTCCTGCCCACGGTTCCCTTCCCTGCCTTAGCGCCTTCTACTGGATAGCTAATCACCCTCCCATATACAAATTTTTAAATGTCAGCAACTCAAAACTCCAATTTTTATTCTCCTCTTTAAAGAAGTAGTCTTGGAAAAGGAGGTGGATTTTCAGCATCTCTAATTTTACCAAATAAGTTAGGCAAACTCCAAAATAAGTCCTAAGAAAAATCGGTGTTATGTTATCCATAACGTAAAAAGCTGTGAAGCGTTTTAAAGAACAATGAAGATAATTCAGCTTGTTCCCAAATGACCTGTAACTTTAAGACCTTTAGGACAGGTATCAAGTAACTAATGGCTTTGGCAAAGCCAGGATTGTTGCTTTTCCCATCTTAAAACGATATTCAAATCTATTGACCTCCATTTCTGTTTTTGGTCCCTTCTAAAGCTGAAGTTTGGCTCGCGCACTGTTGGTAACAATCCGGTGTCGTTTCAGTTTTTAAACTTGAAACAAACAAACAAACAAACAAACAAAAACATTTAAAAAGATTCGCTCAGTCTCTAAATTCCCTTCACACAGAAAAATGAAGCACAAACTTGACAAACTCGGTTGTGGGGAAATTCCATGGACCTTTTACAATATGACACAGCCTTTCCCCTTCTGCATAACTGCTGTCAAACTGGCTCCCAACACTTAGGACAATGCCTAAAGTTGGAAGCACAGAAGTCCCAGATCTAAGTGGCTGCAGGACTAGAAAAGTGAGCGGGCTCGGATGCTCTAACATTAGCACCGCGAATCTGCGGGCGGGGCACGTTAATTAGAACAAGACTAGCTCACCCGGCACAGTACCAGCAGTGAGCCAGGCGGCGATCGGCCGAAAGCCCCCAAAGTAAAAAGCAGCCTCAATCTTGCCCAAGAGCACGGAGCTCGCCGGGCTACCACCGTTGGTCGACTCCCCAAGCACCTCCTGCCAAGGCGCCTGCGCCGTCCTCACGGCCTCGGCACCCCCAAACTGCCGGCCCGCAGCTGAGGCCCCGCACCCCCAAACTGCCCCCCCGCCTCTGCCGGAGGGACCCCGATGGCCGCGAGGATCTCCAGCCGACTACCTTGGTGGTTCGGATGTGCTCCATCACGGGGCGACGCCCGCAGGCAGCTGGCCTTACAAGCGCACCATCGGGAAAGAAACGAGGCGGTGACAGCCACCGGCAGTACCTCCCTCAACCCGCCAGCGTCAGCCAGCCCGCCGGCGGCTACCACTGCGCAGGCGTCGTCTGCGAGCGCCGTCGCCTAGAAACACTTCCGCAAACCCCAACCACCGAGAGGATCCTGGCTGCGAGCAGAGAGTCTCCGACAGAGATTGGTACTGGCAGGGTCGCACCCAGCGCCCTCTCTGATGGAGGACTGGCATTGCCAAGGTCGACCAGGCCAACCCCTGTCCAGTCAAGGACCAACAAAGGCAGGCCTCTGAGGGACTAGAAGGAATTTCTAGGTTTGAATTAAGACCGGACTAAAAGGAATTTTCCAGTGACGGAGAGAATGGATGTCTCTGAGCTCCATTACCATGCCAGTTTAAATCCCTTTTAGAAACCCATTGGGCACTGAGTTGGTTTAATGAACTATTAAAATCTATTGTGAATATTAGTATTAAATCTGAGTACGTTTTATTCGATCATTGCTGCCAAGTGTCAGGATATAACTGTTACAGGTTTGTGGATACGGTTGCTCTTTGATTAAGATGTTAGCGTGAGCCAGGCAGTGGTGATGTGCGCCTTTAATTCCAGCACTTGGGAGGCAGAGGGAAGAGAGTCTTTGTTAGTTCGAAGCCAGCTTGGTCTACAGCTGAGTTACAGGGCAGTCAGGGTTACACAAAGAAACCCTGTCTCAAAAAACGAAATGATGATGATGATGATGATGATGATGATGATGATGATGATGATGGTATGCTAAATGGATGGTTTTTTTTTTTAAATTTGAAAGGCATTTTTTCAGGACTCTTTCCTATAGTTTGTTTTCCCATAAATAAGCAAAGATGGCTGGGGATGGACAATTTGACTTCCTAACAATTGGCTGTTGTGCTCTCTCCCTTGCTGTCTTCTGCAAAAGGCTCTTCAATTAAACCAATGCTTTTGGCTGACCAAAACTTAAATTAAAAAGTGAAAGTGCAGTCAATCTAGAGGATACAGCTGTTTCTGTCATTACTCCTCTCCAGCTTTGGACTTTGTTCATGCCAGTTAACCAGTGCTGAAGTGCCTCAGCTCAGATTCCATCTGCTGTATGTTATGCGTGTGTTTACAGTTTGTGCAAAAGCTTCTACTCTTATCGAAACAGTTATTAATTACAGAAAGCAAAACATTTCATATCTTCCTGCTATCATTCCTTAGCACAGATCAAATTAGTGTAGCTTTGATTTGAGCTGTATTAGAGACACATGTCCACCTCTGCTTTAGTTATTAATTAGTAGTTAGGATGCACGTGTCCAAAATAATTGTTTTTAAAAGCAAATTTATGGTCTGGTGTGTTGGGGCACAGCTTTAATCCCAGCACTCCAGAGGCTGAGGCAGGTGGATCTCTTTAAGTTTCAGGCTACCCTAATCCACACAGTGGGACCATAAGGAACAAAAAAGCAAAAATATTACCAGCAAATGTTTGACTTGTACACCTATATTAATGTACCTATCTAACCAAGGACAAATTTTTTTCTGCTAAAAAGGGGTCATGAGAGGAAAGTTTTTAAAAGAATTTTTAAACAGGCTACCCTTAAGCCAGAATCAATTTTTGTTTGATTTTGGGATGTGTTCATTTTCTCCTTAAGTGATACTTTTAATAGTTTAAGATCTTTCACAAAAATTTACTTTCAAAGGGAGGCGAGATTAAGTAATGTTTGGCAGAAATGAAGTAATTCTTAGTGAGAATCTGGCCACATAACCAGACCTGATTGGGAGGTGGGAGCCAAATTATCATGAGCTATTTTTAGCCCCCTAAATAATTATCAACTTATTGCCCTTTTTGTGCATTACCTAACACCTTAATGTCTGTTGCATTTATCCTTTTAGAATATACAAACAAGAACCCTAGCTTCCATCAACCCAAAAGCTGATACTGTCACCAGAGTACTAGCTAAAGGCTAAAGTCATCAGAGAGCACCTGAGACTGAAGCAGAGACTAATCTGCATTGCTGGATCCTGCCTTCCAGATGTTTCCACCGACATAACTGCAAAATGGCTTGACTTATAATGTTCTTTGTTCTGTTACTAAAAAAAATTCCTAAGATTCCTAGCATGGGGTAACCTGGGTCTGTTCCTTGGACACAGTCACTCATATTTGGCTCCAGAATAAACTCCTATTCTCTTTAAGAGCTGTTCTTACCACTTTAAGCTTTGATTTATACCCAAGAAAACCATGTTTCTAACTCCTGCCCATCAACTTACAGTCATCATATATAATCATCTATGACAAAAAATGTAAATTTCTCATTTAAAAAGATTTCTCTTCTCACTTTTTCGTTTTAGTTTTTGTTTTTCAAGATGGGGTTTCTCTGTGTGCAGCCCTGACTCTCCTGGAAATCTCTCTGTAGACACCAGGCTGGCATCGAACTCAAAGAACACTTGCCCCTGCCTCCTGAGTGCTAGGACTAAAGGTGTGTGCCACCACTGCCAAGCTGTTCTTCCCACTTTTAACATTAAGTTGAATTCCTGTTGTTTATTAATAATATCCTGACAAACGTCTTTTTATAAATAATTTTGTGTTTATGTATATGTGTTTGTTTGTGTGAGTATACACTGCAGATATGAAAGTGACAGAGATTAGAAGAGGGTTTTGGGTCCCTGGAACTGGAGTTTCAGGAGGCTGTGAGCCTTCTGACTTGTACTGGAAGCTGATCATCTGGAAGAGCAGCCTGGGCTCTTGACTGATAAACCATTTCTTCTGCCCTGATGAACGTCTTTCAAATAAAAACACCATTCACATAGCATCTTAAATCAAAGTGCAGCTGTATCTACAAACCTGCCAGTGTTGTATCCTGACACTCAACAGCAAAGGCCGTATAAAATGAACTCAGAGCCTAATACCACCATGACAATAGAAGGTTGTTGTGGTAGAATGCTGGCCTCTGAGCACAACGGTTATTCCCATCCTAATTAGGGCATTTGTGATACCTGCAAGGGTTCCTCTAGTAGAAAAAGAGGATGGAGTGTGATCAGACTGTCACCTGAGAGTCCAGCTGCTTCTTTCTGGGCCCCATTTCAATTGCATGTAATTCTAGCCCCAGTTGCTGGTCTTGGTGGTGCTAGAGTATAGAGTGTGGAAGGCAGCTATCACCCAGCTCGGGTGAGTTTTCATTTCATTCATGTCGCTCAGTAAGTCCAAAACACTCATTGGTGTCCCACACTAGACTACAGAGGAACTGTAACTTTGCTTTTTCCGAGGTGAGAGAATACTGTTCATACCCACCACCCCCAGGAGGGGAGAGTTAACACTGACATTTTATACCCATATACAATTTTTTAAATCCTCTTTTTAAAAGTCACTAGCTCATCATCGAGCAAATGTCCAAATGCTGAATTCAGCACTATCTTTTTTCTCATTTCCATTTCTTCAATTGCCTTTTAAGAGACATTACTGCCTGAACATTTATAGTGTAGTAAGTAAATGCTGTGGAGCAGTATCCTCAGAGCTGAAGAGCCAGCATCTTCCTCAGGGCAGCTGCGACTGCTTGCAAGCTCAGGCCTGTTGACAATCCCTCAAATGAGGAAGGTCCGAGGAGGGTCATGGGACCATGGCATTCCAGCCAGTTCCTCCTATACCTCCCAATCGATGTTGTTTGTTGTATGTTTCTGCCCTAATTGCACACGGCCTCATGTTTCCAGACATGCTAGCATACACAGTGTGTGGAAGGTTAACTGAAAGGGGAACTCCATCCGTGCAGCTACGGGGAAGTCATTCATGGTGAGGTGAGACTTACTGGTATGAGAAGCAGCTTTGGGGTTACCCATGCTCTGTAAGTAATTTCATTAAACTCAATGGTTTGTCAAGTTAGATTTTGGTGGAATCATACTTAGGTTTGTCGTTGGTGTCTTGTAAGGAAAAGATAGTCATTTGTTTATGTCTTCCCAGAAAGAGTTTCTGAAACAGTTAAAAAAAAATTAAATGGGACTGGAGAGGTAGCTCAGCAATTAAGAGCACTGCCTGCTCTACCTGAGGTCCCTGGTTCAATTCCCAGCACCCACATGGTAGTGCATAACCATTAACCATCTCTAACTCCAGTTCTGGGGATCCAATGTCCTCTTCTGGCCCACACAGGCATGTGGTGTACACACATACATGCAGGCAAAACACCCATATTCATAAATATATAACAAATTTTAAAAATTAATTTAAACCTAAGTTATATAGTTGAAATTTGTACATAAAGTGGGTATAAAAACTTACCCAACAGAACAAAGGGGCAAACCTTGTCAAAGAGCATTTATGGCCCCGAGAGATAACAGAAAAACTGTGCAGTCAGATTGCGTCCTCAAGATTTGTTCTATGCTCCACTTTTGCTATGCTTCCTTTAATTAAATCTATTAATATGAACAGTTCCATAGATTAAGAATTTATGTTTAGTAAAATGCACTTTGCCTGACTTTGAAAGATGCCAAGAAAAGCAAGTGTAGCAAACAGGTACAGAGCTTGAGCGCTGTAAAACAAAACAAAACAAAAACAAAAACAAAAACAAAACACTGTGACCAGAAAAATTCATAATAAAAGAACAATTTGTTATGAACATGAAAATTTTCCTACATATTCCACAGATATACCAAAAAAATCAGCAGTGAAGACAGTAATAACTACAAATATCATATTTGATTTCCTGTTTTGCCTAAAGATTAAGTGAAAAACATTAGAATTTTAAGATTTACTCTACTATTTTAAGTGTGTGTGTGTGTGTGTGTGTGTGTGTGTGTGTGTACACACATGCACATACAGGCACCAAGGGTATCAGATACCTCTAGAACTGGAGGTATAGGTGGGTGTAATCCACTCACCATGGATGCTGGCAACTTGAGTTCTGTACAAGAGCAAAAAGTGCTTTTAGCTGATGGGCCATCTCCTCAACACCAATGTTCCATTTCAAAAGACAATTATATTATATCCTGCCACTAAAATTTCTATCAAGAGACTGGGCGGTGATGGCACACACCTTTAATCCCAGCACTCGGGAGGCAGAGGCAGGTGGATCTCTGTGAGTTCCAGGCCAGCCCGGGCTACAGAGCGAGGTCCA